CTTAAAAATTAAATTTAAAAAAATTTCAATATATAATTTAATATAAAACTACTATTATTATTTTAGAACATATTTGTTTATTTTATTTTAAATATATATTATTTAATCCAAATATAATTATGGTAACTATTTACTAATTTAAATATTTAAAGGCCAACAATAAATTTATTTGGCTTAAACCCAACACTTCAGGATATAAAAATGTGTCTAATATATTTTAGGTTTTTGTTTATATAAAACACTAATAAGTTATACTTGTTGTTTCTAAGTGATGCAGGATTAAGTATTTTTTTATATATAGTGCTGAAAAACTTTACTTTCTATTTTTGAACAATGTAAGATTTTTTCATTTCACGATTTCACTCGTATATTAGTAGAAGAATAAAAAATCTTATTAATAAAAAATGAGAAGAAACTTACCATATTATATGCAAACATTCCATAGGCTCTAAAATCCAATCAGACACTGTGAAATTACAGACCTTGCTCATTGCTTTGATCCATTGCATTGCTCTTACTTAAATGAGCTTTATTGCCTTTCCTTCCTCAATGGCTTTGTCATTAAAAAGCCTTTTATATTCCTTATCAGCCACAGGGACCAGACCACTGCAGCCCACAACATATCCCATGCCTCTCTTTTATTGTCATTTAGTACACTTGAGTGTTGCACAAAAACCTCCCAACATGATCTCGGCAAAACATTGTAAGTGCCCCACCATTTCTAGCATTTAACTAAACATTACAAGTCATCCTGCAGTGTACAAGTACATGATTTGTGTCTACCAATCCTTCGCCAGGAGCATCACAAACAGCTAATTCCGCATCATCTATAATGCCTCTTTTAGCAGGATTAAGCCTCGTTGGAATGCTATCTTGTACCGCTTGCTATATTGTAATTGTTTATTTCTCCAATTCAATTGTAGATTAATTGTGACAAAAAAAATTTGTTATGTTTTTATGATTTCTTTCGTAATAAATCATATATACTACCACAAATTATAATTGTTAGGAATGAAATAATTTAGTCAAAGTAAAATTTAGCATATGTAACAAAAATCAATCATTTGTAACTACTATTTTACTCATCACTAAGTTATTTTACTGTGATGATTTTGATTGTAACAAATTTATATTTTTTATTATGCCAAATCTTTTGCTATCAAATATAAGTTTTATGTTAAAATTGTATATTCTAATTTTGAAAATCAATATGAGAGACCAATATCTTGAATTAATCATAAATGTAAAAAATATTAATGACAAACTAAAAATCAGTTACTATTTTTAGTCACAAAAAATTCATTTTCTTATAATATTAATTAGTATCTAGATTGTTTCAGTTTGTATCAACGAAATCACAATTATAAGTACATACTGACCATCAGAGTTGATAGTAATGTGAAATCTCACATTGTTAATTATTGATTTAACATTTTTTCAATCAAAATTTATGGACCTTCAAAAATACAAACTCAAATTGATAGTAGGAGTTAATTTTTACATTAATATGCTAGACTCGTTCATAATTTTCCATTAATGTCGGATAGCTCAGGCCTTCAATGCCTCTTTCCGTTCTCCTGCCCTTTGTGTTTCTCTTTTGGAAAAGTTTCTCAGCCTTGGATTCCAATCTAATCTCGTTTTCCTTTGCTCATTTTTCTCTGTATTTTCTACTTTGGATTTAGATATAAAAAATTCCCTTGGACACAACCAAAGAAAGAGGGATTTAAAAAAAAAAAAAATGTCCCACTTTTCATTACTTGAAGAGTTAAAAATTGTGCCGAGAGGGAGATAAGACAAAGGGCACTGACCCCTAAGTTTTTGTGAAAAAAATTAAAGTATAAGGTTCTTAACTTTTTTTAATATTTGACAATAAAAATTATTTGACAAGATTTAGGTTTATTTATATATTTTCTAGATTTAATAAAAATATTTAAGAAATTAAAATTCATATGAACACTTACAAATCAATTGATTAAAATAAATATACATTTATAGGACTTAAAGATGATGCTTTAGAAGAGAAGTGGGATTCATGCGAAAATAATTGGAATTTTGTGTGAATATATGCTGAAAATCTCAAGTCTCGACACCTTAGTACAATGTGTCGGCACGTTCCCTTAATTTAGGAAAAAAGTGTCCGTGTCTGGATTTTGGACTAAGAAGCAATTTTGTTTGTTCATTGGGTAAAACTTTGCTGGTTTCTCAACTTTTACTTTTTCTGCACTTTGATCTCTACACGTTTTTTATTATTCATCTTGGTCCTTGACTTCAACTTTCTCTTTTTCAATTTATTCTTCTACAATTCAATCCTAATATTTCTGATTTCTTCCAAAAGGCAAAATTAACACAATAATATGTATGTGAATTCAACTTATCATATCTCAATTCATGCATGTCTAAATAATTTTAAAAAATAACTCTACTTTATTAATTTATTTATAATTTAGAATAATAAATTATATTTTCTCCAATAAAACATCACAGGGACCACATTCTATAGGATTTAAGACTATTCTTTAGTTTCCCAATGTATCAAATAGAATGAATTATGTTTCTTAATTTGTGACTCTTTTTTCCCCTTTTTCATCCATTTCTTTTGTGTTGCAATATATATTTCTCTACTAATAA